CCAACCCCCACACACAGCGGTCAGGTCTGACAGGAGGTCACCCACCTGGCATTCCGGTCACGTGATGTTCCCGCCGAGGCTTGACCACCACCACGTTGCCGTTGTCGTCATCAGCGCCCGAGGCGGGCGGGAGCAGGTTGAACGTGACGTCACTTTCAGGGGCCGCGTCATCGCCCGGGCCTGGGGTGGAGTCACCGTTCATGGTTTAATCTGTTTATCCCTCGAAGTGGACGGATAGTCACAACTTGCAAAGACAATTCCCGCAAAGCTATCCACAGTATGGCAAATGTTTTAAGTGTGTTGACTACACACAACTTTCTGAAGGTGATATCCACAAAGTTGTTTTACAGTATGGCAAACGTCTTTAGGGTATTGATTAGTTTATCACACCACGTGGACGGATAGTCTCCGGTTGACTTTGAATATCCGCAGACTTCCCAACAGTTCAATTGGAAATCCAGTAAGTTATCCACAGAATGGCAAAATGTCTTAGTGTTTTGACAAGTTTATCTCACGATGTGGACGGATAGTCTCCGGTACAGACTTCACAACTTCCTAAGATGATATCCACAAAGTTATTCACAGTATGGCAAATGTCTTTAGTGCATTGACAAGTTTAATTCACAATGTCGACTGATAGTCTCTGGTTGACTTTGGATATCTACAGACTTCACAACCTTCCGAATATGATATCCACAAAGTTATCCACAGTAAGGCAAAATGTCTTTTGTGCATTGACTAGTTACGATGTGAAGAAACAGTCTCAGGTCGACTCTGAATGTCTACAGCTTTCACAACCATGAATAGTAGGTGATATCCACAAAGTTATCCACAGTAAGATAAATATCTTAGTGAACTATTAGTTTATCTCACGATATGGACGGATAGTCTCTGGATGGCTTATAATGAATATCTACAGACTTCACAGAAGTACATTAAGGGGTAGTGATATCTACAAAGATAACCACATTATATGTATTGCAAATATCGTAGTGTATTCACATTAATGTGAACATTAATCTTATTGTTGATCAATATCTTGTGACTTCACGGAGCTATCGGCAGCTAGTCACGTGTTGTCTATCCGCAGTTGCAAGAAGGGCTCTGTAAAACAACCAGTCTTTGCTATCCAGAATCTACGAGGAACTTCAAGGCAGAGGGGTCACCTGGAATTATAAAAAGAAACAAATTCACGTTAGATCGTTAGAAAACCCCCCCAAACGTATGACTTATATGACCTAATTGTCTTGCAAGTGTCGTAACATGTTTATAAAAGCACAACAACAACAACAACAACAACAACAACACTAATTGTGTTGCAAGTGTCGTAACATGATTATAAAAGCACAACAACAACAACAACCACCACCACCCAACAACAACAACAACAACAACAACAACAACAACCAAGAAGTTAAAAAAAAGAAGAAAAAAAAGATAATTATTTCATGCCCCCGTCCCCACAATCAAGTTTTACATAATTAAGGACAGGCAGGAGCAAATGTGTGCAATTCGCGGGCCTGATTAATAGTGGTGGGCAAAATCCGGATAAACTATAAGGATAACCGGATAATTATCAATGAAACATTTTCCGAATTCAGACTCTTTTAACTCCCTTGCTTGACCCGTTTGCCGAAGAGGGTGCACCCATTTGTTGAAGTGATGTTAACCC